GGCGTGTGGCACCGCATTCAGTTCAGTACACAATATCTCAAGTGTGTGTGTGTGTGTGTGTTGCATTTTGTTACTTGTGCCATGATGCCATGATATATCAAATTTGTACAAATTTGTGCAGTTCATCCCCAGTTCGCAGGCCAAACCCTGGAATTGGGTGCCACGCTTACGTGTGGGCTCTTGGGCAGATGCCTCAGAAGGAGCAGATGAGCCGAAGCAGGCATGGAAGCTGCAGTGGGACATTTGTTTGGCGTGCTCCACACGTCGAACGTAGAGCCTAGCCACATGACACATGGGGGAAGCCAAGCCAGGCAGAAGAGGCCGCAGAGTCACTGGATGTGATGCCAGAAAACCCGGAAAAGGTGGCACCAGATTCAGAGGTTGAGGAAGTCATTCACACTGGCCCCGTTGACGCAGAGCCACTGCTGAATCAAGCTGACCACGCAGCTGAAGATCCTCAACCAAAGAGAGATAAGAGAGCAGCGGAACATGATAAGAAGATAAGGAGCCTCAGAGACCTATTTGTTTGAAATGTGAGGTGGGACTTTTGAACGGACTCGGCATTCCTCCCCGAAGGAGCCAGTTCAATGCGGCGCAGAATGAAAAGAATGCCAAGAATAAAGTGGGCCAAGTGCGTATGGCATCTGAGCTGCAAATTCCAATTCAACCAATGTGGATCCAAATGTTCTGCTCTACACATGCTTTGACCATCGTAGATTTGCACCACTGGCAGCCACTGGCATTTCTTACATCAGCTGAGCCTCCCAATTTCTCCCATGCCTTTTGCAGAACCATGCAGAACCCATGTGCTCGACGAGATGCGTTGCAAGGATGATGACGCTGAAGAAGCCCCTGCGCATCAACGACGTGCATGGCGAGGCCAGGCTTGCCAGAGGTGGAGTGGATGAGGGACAGCAACATCATGGCGCCTTGACGCAAAACGAAAAGACAAGGGCGCCTCGCAAGGTCAAAAGAACACAGGGCAGAAGTCCAAAGATATTGAATCGACTTTCTGTCCTTGGAAGGCCGAGCCCACCCAGAGCAGTGCATTCCTGAGGAACCTAAGGCGGGTTGCATGGGAGCCTGCCGCTGAGTCACTTTGCCTCAGTATGTGCTCACAAAGCTTTACGACATTTCAGTACTCAATGATTTCTAGCAGCAGCAATTCACGCGTCTTTGTTTTCATGGAAGCATGCGTTTTTTTAGAACATCCTCCATGCTGCTTGTCAGCCCATCTTTGGGTGCGCAGGACGCAGTTGAAAGCAGGGATCTCAGACAAGCAGTTGATGACTAAAAGCTGTTGAAGTTCGTAGCAGCTGGCAAGGAAAACTGTTCGACCTCGAAAGCCAGCAAGTGTTGTTCAAAGTGGTGTGCCACTTTGCCAATTTGCCTCCGATGCTGAAAGCATAATTACCTGCATGACCGGATTATATGTATGTATGTATATATATATAATCCAGTTCATTGCTTTCATCCTCAGAGGCAGTGATGATGAGATCGTCCTTGCTGAGCAGCTAGTGGCGCAAGCTGGGGCAGATGAGGTCGAGGGCAATGCGTTTTGGCATGTTGCTTGTTCTTGGACTCTTGGAGGCACTGGAGACCCTCGCACTCGAAGGGGCTCGGCACACTGCACGTTGCATTCTTTGTGGACTGGCCTACTCCTTGCCGCCCGGCTGCAGATCGGGCTCGGCTTGGCCAGTTTTGAGAAGATTGTCGGCCAAGAGCTTGTCACGCACTGCCCGATGCATCCCGATGCCATTCAGCACAAGTGGAAGGAGAAGGATCACATCACATGTATATAGTCGTAACCGGTGTAACCGCCATAACCAGGCCATGGGAACTTGTGGCTGAGCAGCAATTGCAACGGGTGTACATTAGTAGGTACATTATATAAGATACATTAAGATACTACGTAAGACATAAGGTACTCACAGTGCTTCCTTGGGAGAATGACCTTTTCATCCACACTCTCGAGGCCCCCTTGACAGGGCTGTGAGAATCCAGGTTATTGTTTTGCTCATTTTCATCTTCAGACAAACAGGTGCCATGCTAGCGAACGATGGCAGCTATCCAGGGCTTTGAACATAGAAAGCGCACCTTCTTGTCAAAGTGCGACAAGTCCAGCGCTGGCGAAATTGACGAAAAGGCTCGTGAGATATGTGCCGAACTCAATGGTCGGCCCGCTTTCTTCACGACATCATCTTGTGCCGGAAGAGCGTTCATTTGGCGGGGTGATGGGGTGAAAAGCACGGAGTGTTTCAGCAGGTGGCGCGTGACACATGACCTGGTTGAAGATGCGCGAGCATATTTCGACCTTGCCACCCTCGACGAGACTGTTGAAGGCAACGATGTTTCCGAGCAGGCACCGTCGTTCTGGACGCAAGCACTTCTGCGACTGGCCAGCCTGTGTACGTGGTGTCAGTCAAGCAGACCAGGCTGGCGGGGCCGCAAGCACCAACGGCAGGAGAGAGCAGAGGTGGCCGATAAGCGATTGCTTGAAAGTGACGTGTCCTGCATACATTGGCACACATGGACGAGCGCAAAGTGGCTTAGAACTTATATATAATCTTATATATATATATACTGTAGATATCTGTAGATCTTATTATTGCGTAACACAGGCATCCCGGAATCCCCACTCCCCAGTGTGTCCGTCACACCTACAGTTGCCCTATCATAGTGTGGACATTGACCATCAAGCAGCAGGAACGGGTAAGATCGGCCAAGAAATTGTGGGGAGGAACACGGATGAGCCAAGCAACCGAGGTTAGCTCAAAGAATAATCACTTGTAAGAACTTACTTCTTACTTCATTGACTTGCGCCAATCGCCATTTCAAGTCAGCCTCAGCCTGAGGTGATGCGGTGTATTGGCTCCGCTTCGAGCCATTCATCTTGCATGTGTGTTGCCGTGACCTTGTTGCGGCTGCAGCACTGATGGCCGCAGCCCGACGTGTTTTCAAGAATGTCGGGCTCCAAGGATTTGATAGTTCCAAACTGATTGTTGCTATTTGGGGTGACGAAGGCCTCGATATGCCTTTGACCAATCCAGATGGCTGGCCCTTGTTTCAGGGTGAGCATGTCTGGTTGCAGAGCTTGGTGAACAGTCGGCACCAGCGGAATTGGGGAAAGATTGATCGCTTCACAGCAGCTGTAAGAGAGATGGAGGAGCCAGTCCCTTCAGCCGAGCTAGAACCCACTGGCGAAGCTGAAAGGGAACTACGACATTTTGATGTTGTGGGCGATGTGGCCATTGTCAACGTAAAGCCCAAAGAGGATTTGGCGTTACTCGGCAATGCCATTCTGAAGCAGGATTGTCTTTGACAAAAAGAACGAAAGAACATGCGTACAAATGCGTGCAATGATCCTTGTCACTCAGCAAGTGCATTGTATATGACCGAAGCCCCGTGCAGGACCGTCGGGTCAAAGTGGTCTGCATCAAGGCATCGCTTTTGGCATCAGAACTCCGAGCTCCGGGCGAGCAATTGCAGATCATTGCCGGCCGGGCGAGGTCGCCATTGATGAAGCTTGGAGCTGATAAGTCTGATGGCTCCCCAGCAGTGGTTTTGATCTTAGATGGTGCCTCTTGAAAAGCTGTGAGTTCGAGCTTGAATTTCTTAGGCCTAAGCACTGAGCACATCCCATTGAACTACATGAATAAATGATATCCCTCATGTTGTGTGTTTACACCATGGGGCTGGTTGCATCATTGCACCAAGCACACGTCATGATTTTCCGAGTTGCTTCCGCTTTGTCAGGACAACTCATATTGAGTTCGGTGTCCGGATGATCATTGATTTGGACGCATGCTTCTTCTCCCCGCGTTTGGCTGGAGAGCGTCAGAGGCTTTGTCAAGCAGTACAGCCAGGAGAGAAGATCCTGGTAGCCTTTGCCGGCTGCGGTCCTGAAGTTCTGCAGCTTTTGGCACACACGGAGGCTTCCCAGATAGCAGTTGTGGAGCTTAATGGGGCAGCTGTGAAATGCCTACAACGAAGCCTTCAGATGATCCGAGGTGAGGAAGGCCCGGAGGGCCGAGCTTGTCTGGAGGTCTTGGAGGGCGACATTCGGCAAGTGGCGAGCCACTTTCCACGTGGCCACTTCCAGCGCATTCTCGCACCACGACCCAAGAATCCAGGGGATGGAGATCTAGAACAAGGGGATGGAGGAGTAGAATTTCTCCAAGCACTGGTACCATTGCTGGCAGATGGAGGGGTTTGCCATTGGTATGACTTTGCAGCAGACTGGGAGCTTCCTGCGTGCAAGCGCACGTGCAACATCCTCAACACCGAGTGCATGACCCTGGGTCTTTCTTGCAAAGTCTTACGCGTTGCAGCCGCCAACCGTCGCACGATTGCGGAGCGCCAGTATCGAGTTGTGGCAGACTTTCAGGTCTCCAAAAGCTGATGTCGAGACGAATGACATCGAATGAAGGTTATGAAGGCTGATGTGAGCGTGTCATGTGTGAGAATGGGGAGGCCCCGAACCTATGGGCTCTGTGGTACTTTTAGGGTCTTTCAGTCACTTTAGTACCCTTCTTTTTGCAGAGGTTTTTGAGAGGGTCTCCTTGTTCCATGACGCGCTATGCCAAGATGGCAGAACCTTCGGCTTTCACTGAGTTCAGGGTTGCTCGACGGAGAAATTGCCACTTGGACCTTTTGAACTTTGGGATGCAATGGATGAAGACTAGTATAATGTGAATGCCTTCTAAGTCGTCACACCGGAGCGCATATTTTGCTGCATATGGATTCCCTTTGTTTCAGCACAGTCAGAATTGCGCACTTTGAGCCAGATGCTGAGGAATATCGACATGAGATACTTGGCAGCCAGCGATGCTTCCAGTGTTCATGCCTTTGCACATTGACGTAGTGTTACAACATGTTTGAATGTGTTCAATTGATTGAGCAATGCAAGGGCAAGTTGGTTATATATGTTATTATGTTGAGCTCCTTGCTGGGAATGTGATACGCCAAAGTCGAAAAGCAGGCTGAATCGCGGGCCCTTCCGCTTTCTCAACTAACCGGGAATGCCACTGTTTGATCTAGAGAATGGCCTTACGGCCTTACCAACTCGCCCAGGTGATATTGGCGACAGCTTTTGCTGCCAGGACTTGGGACGAAGTTGTTTCGTGGAAGAGGCGGGAGCGTTATACCGCTTGTAGCATCCAACGATTTGCCGTGTCAGAGATGTGCAGTGTTGTGCACACATCTATGCTCAGTTACACAGGATTTGCTGAGATCATGGTTTGTCTCATTCCAAATCATTGATCAGGATTCAGAGAATGAAGTGCAAGATGGAACAGTTGCAAAGGGTGATCAGCTGGAGCAAGACATCGATGAAGAGACCGACGAGGATTCTTTCGACCATGTTTTAAAGGCATTGCGGCATGGATATGATATATATATATATATGCAAGCATTCTTTCAAAGTACGAGACGATGCTTTCGGGTATGAGATGCGTGTTAATTAACTTGCGGGAAGCCGACCCGGCAAACCCTGCAGGATGTTTTTGTTGCCGTGTGCGACGAATGCGGAGCCAACGCCTCAACTCAGCACAGTAGTACTGAAATTTCACATTGCGACTGTACCACAGACGACGGCGTCTTTGAGGCCACTCATGTTACCCACATTGACTTCATGGGCTTGGGACTAAACTTCCATTGTGGCATGGTAGGAGCCAGGCACGGTTCGCATGCTGTCAAGTGTTTTACCACTGGAATCGGTCAGCTGTCTCGCACTACAACCAATGCTTTGGAAGGTGCGACGGCGATGCTGAACCGCAAGGCGATGCCGAAAGCGGTCGATCAATTCCTGTGCTTCCTCCCAGCCGCCCCTTGGCTTCCAAGCCATGGTGGAACACGTTCACCAAGGGAGTTGCCATCGTAGCACAGGTGGCACCAAAGGCACGATGGCATAGTGCCGTTTTTCCTTCAGTGGCCCCTCCCATTTCACTGGATATGCAATTTTTTCTTATATACGTATAAGTAGTATGAACGTTACTTTTTGACTGCTCTTCACATACTTTGTTTGGCTTGTCATGAAAGCTAGCTGTAGCTAGCTTGAGTCTGTCTTGCTTTAGCAAGGAGGGGTGAGAAGCCAGGACCTGAGTCATAACCCCTGATATATCAGGGATATACCCCCCTCTCCCCCCCCCGCGGTGCCATCCTCCTCAGTCAGCAGCGAACTAGCCCAACGAGGAACATCGAAGAGTACAGAAAAACATATTTTTTGAGATCAGCTGTGATTTTGGAGCTACCTGTCGGTCTTGGTCAATCGTGCATTTGCTGCTGCTGCCGGTTGGTGCTGCTGCTGCTGCTGCTGCTGGTTGGTGCTGCTGCTGCTGCTGCTGCTTCGCTGCTTCTTTGCTTCTGCTTCGCCGCAGCTTCGCTGTTGCGATTCCCGGCCTGGGCTTTGCTGGCAAAATGGCCCCAGCGCTTTCGCCACCCCCCGGTCCACCAGTTTTGATTGGTTTCTGTTCGAGGTGTTTTTTTGGAGGGGGCTGGCATGCTTTCACGTTTCCATTGCTTGGAGTAATTAGACAATGCCAGAAGTGCCGTTTCCAGGCTGACTTGTGTAAAGAGAGGGATCCTTTCTTGGAGCATTCTTCAGCATGCTTTCAACTCCCAGAACTGCCTGTTTTCTTCCACTTGTTTCTCCAACTGGCGGAGCGCAGGAACACCAGTCCTGTTTGTTTTCCCCTCTGATCTTTAGAGTGGTTTGGACAATTTCATTTGCAACTGTACGATAGTGATTTTAAGAATGGAGCTGAATGGTGCATTTTTGTGTTTTTTCTTGTATCCTGTGAATATGTCATTTGCACTGGCAGCTGCTTGACAGCGCCTGGAAACATGAGGATCGCAGCTCAACAAACTCTCTGTGGAAGAGAAGAGAGATTTATTCGAAAGGCTCGGCACAAATCGTGATTCCCGTTTGGATCATTTGGGGCCTTTTCCTTTGCGCCAAGCGGTGTCAATCTGTTTGTGGGAATTTATAGTGGCAAGCAGCCCAGTGAGTCCTGGCTATTTTGCAAGTGTTGGCTTGCGTAGGTATGCAGTGCAGCGTCAAGAAGAGAGAGTGTCAAAGCTGCTTGGATCAGTGTCCCTGTGGCCAGTGCTAAGGGTTTCGACCAATCATGGGCTCATGTAGCAAGAGATGAGAACATGAGTGTTCAGTACACCCCCCCCCGCCCCGCCAAACAAAGTAGTATTTCACAAATAATGTTGGGTTAAGATTTTTTTTTATATAAACATTATTTCATGTTCTCAAGATGCTTCCTTGTTCTGATATGTTT